TATCATATTCTCGATACGATTTTTTTCATATTCATTCGTAACGAATAATCAAAGAACAATATTGAAGAAGAATAAGAATCAACAAATATCGAGAAAATAATTATCCGATCCTAAATCAAATTTCGAGCCTGAAAAAGAATCCTAACTTCCTCCGCCATCAATGAGATCTTACTCAGATTCATGATACTCAGAAAATTAATTCCAGTTTACACGACTACAATATAAAATCTCGTAGCAATCCATCCTTCAAATATAAAAAGAATAATAGACATATTTGAAAAGAAATATTTAGTGAAAAGAAAAAGTCTTGGTACATAAAGATTTTTGAATGGGTCCTTTATCGTTTCCATATTCATACAATATATAATTCTCATATTAATTGATGATTTTTGTGTTCATGCGTTCACGCTCTTCTAGTAATATATTACGGCCGTCTAAAAGGCCGCACAAACTGATTCATGTAATACGTCAAAAACCCCGTTCTTATATGTAAAAATAGCTCGTGAAATGTCCAAGTTCGCGCAGTGATAAGCGAACGACATGACTGAAGAAGGAAACTTATCTGCGTGCTATTGGGCAGCAGGGAACTGCGCAACGTTGACCTTAGATCCTAAGTATCGAGGCAAGTGCTAACATCCACATCATCCCCAGATCGTTCTATTCTCTGACACCGAATTTTACCACGTCGCCTCCAGTTCGGTTTCCTGGTGGAGGTCCTTCAGAGACATGCCCTTTGCCTCATCAAACAGGTGATTGGGGCTGGAGTCATAGAGGACAAACCGGGTGCGGGAAGGTCATGACATGACATGACATGACTTGGAAAGTCAGAAGGTTTCCGAAGTAGGCTCCCCAGGCTTAGTTTACGAGCTTGCCGGTCTATTGACATCGGGTGGAGCTGAGTACTGCAGGACTTTCAATGAAAGCCCCGCCCACCTGGCTACAGTATGTATATATATATATATATATTTATATTTTTTATATATATACATATTAGTCATACTCTGGAAATCACAACTCTTAATCCCAAGAGCACTACATCCCTACAAACCCTAAACCTTGAACTGGAAATTCGGACTGCCCCGACTCCTCCCCTCCCCCCAAACCCACCCCAAAAAAGCAAGAAAAGAAAATCTACAGGTGGCTGCAAAGTCGTCCAAGACTAAGATAGGGGTGGAGGGTTTACGGGGGGGGGGTTGTAACGTGTCATGTATAATTAGTTCATGATGAAGCTACACTCCCCTTATAACCCTTGTAAGCTTTCTCGTGTTGATGATCCCCAACTTTATAGAAACAAACATGATACATAACTCCTCAGGAGAGAGAAGGCAATTGGGTTTCTGGTAGGATGTAGCGTTGGGGATGAAGTATCCAAAACGCTTCAGTGCTCAGGGCGTTGTATGACCCCTCCCCGACCCGCCCTCACAACCTCGGAAGCCCCCAAGGCCATCCCAGGGTTTAGGGCTTAGGGGGCTCGTTGAACCCTAAACCCTAAACCCTAAACCCTAAACCCTAAACCCTAAACCCTAAACCCTAAACCCTAAACCCTAAACCCTAAACCCTAAACCCTCTGAATGATTCTCTAAGTTTGGGTTGACAGGGTTGAGGGGTTCCTAGGGCTGAGGGGGTTCAGATCGCCCCATATGGGCAGATACGAAAAATGTACCGAGGTCGCATCCCGCTCTGTCTGGCAGTCGAGCCGCAAGGCATCGGACTGTGAAGCGGACGTCCTGTTCGACGTTTGCCTGTTGCTGCGGAACCCTAAGCCGTCATCGCCTAAACCACCAAAGGCTCTTCACAAAGGTGTGTGTTGTCGGCTGTGGCGAGGTTCAGAAACGTTGGGTTTAGGGCTTAGGGTTTAGGGGTTTAGGGTAGGATGTAGGTTTTCAGGTTTAGGTTCAGGACTCGGCCCAAACTACCTTGAATTTGGATTTCAGCCGCGCAAAAGATGTACTCAAAATCGGCCGCATCGGTGACTAGGTTCAAGTTCCAGCTCCTCAGGCAGCTGAGATTCGATCAGTTACCTTTCATTCTGAAATTCAGGTTACTGCCCCCACTCTAAACGAGAATTTGCCCCCCAGAGTTTGGACTCAGCCCCCCCTGACTCTCAACCCAGACTTAGCAAACCCAAAATCCCAAACCCTAAAGCCTGAACCCTAAACCCTAAACCCTAAACCCTAAACCCTAAACCCTAAGATGAGCTCTGTCAGCTTGGGCCCACTAAACACACCAAAGAACCCGCCTGAAACTGCTGCATCGCCTCGGCAGTGGAGGCGTGCACGAAGAATCGTCCAGGCCGCTCCAGCTGACAGGGTTTTTAGGGATTTAGGGTTTAGGGGTTTAGGGGTGTTAGGGTTTAGGGTTTAAGGGTGTTAGGGTTAGGGTTTAGGGTGTTCGGGGTTTAGGGAGTAGGGGGTTTAGGGTTTAGGGGTTTAGGGTTTTAGGGTTTAGGGTTTAGGGGTTTTCGGGTTTGGGGGTTTAGGGGTTTGGGGGTTTAGGGTTTAGGGGTTTAGGGTTTTAGGGTTTAGGGATTTAGGTTTAGGGGTTTAGGGGTTTGGGGTTTAGGGATTTAGGTTTAGGGTTTCGGGGTTTATGGTTTAGGGTTTGGGGGGGGGGGGGGGGGGGGGGTGTTTGGCGGGCTTTCTAAGATTCTGGGGTGTTCAACTGAAAAAGATTCTGGGACCCTCTTTTGGGTGGGGTGGGGGTATCTAGACAAGACAAGTTTGCCGTTGCTGGTTTCTTCTTGTAGCTGTTGACGCTTCATCTCGGGCACGGATACTTCTGCACACGGGGAATGCCAATGATCCCTCACTTCACTGAGGCTCTCGGGGCTTTCGTGCAATGTTGAATGTTGAACCCTGGGATTCTTTGGTTAGGCCTAGGAATTGGGGCTTAACCAGGGTTTGGGGGAAAACCGCCACTGAGCTAGGAATGCAAGGGCCCGAAAATGGAAGAAGGGTACAGGCTTGGGGTTTGGGCCTCCTTCTGCACCTTCTTGGCCAGCGTGGCCACTGACGCCAGCTTGCAGACATTCAGCTTGGCCTAGGGACGCAGCGCGGGGCACCTCCCGCCCCTTTATTGACTGTGAAAAAGGTCAAGTGTACTCCCCAGTCACCAACTCATCTGTAAACACTAGATCCTAAACCCTAAAACCCTAAACCAAACCCCAAACCCCTCATACCCCCCAAACTCCCAAGACCCCAAACCCAATCTTTTTATGGCCAGCCAAGCTGCTGAAGAACCTACACTTTCCGTCTAACACGGCCCTTAGCCTGAAAGCCTAGACCGAACCCTGAACCCTCCCCCCGCCCCTCTTTGGGAGGTGCACGTGTTTGTTTCATTTTTTTGTGACAGGCTTGCGTTCGGAGTTGGGGTTTGCGAGTCAGATGTATGGGGGCTTACTATTGGGGGCTTAGGTTTCCTAGTGTCAAGATTCAAGGGTTCGGGGGCAGTGCCAATGCAAATCGTAATAAACTCCAATCAAACTTCCTCCCCCAAACCCCAAACAAACCCTAAACCCTAACCCCCCGAGCCCATTGAAGATCACCCTAGAACCTACTAAGCCATGAACAAGCCGCTAAGCCAGGCACCAAAAGCACAACGCACTCCACTGAGCCTCATGCAGCCCTGACCCCCGAAACCCCTAAACCGCCGCCTCAAGCCTTAAACCTCCCAAAGCCCCTACACCTCCTAAACCTCCCAAAACCCTAAGCCCCAAGCCCTAAACACCCTAAAACCCTCTAAGACCCTAAACCCCAAAGCTTAGGGTTTAGGAAATCCTCTAAAGCCTGCCGGGGGAACAAAAATCTCCCAAAGGCCTACTTATAATGTTTACGGTTTGGGCGGTTAGGGGCTAGAGGTTTATGAGTTTGAGGTGTAAGGGTCTAGGATTCGTTGCTGAGGATTCCCAAACCCTAAAGCTTGAACCCAGTCCCCTACCGTTTAGGAGCGCTAAACCCCTTCAACTTCCAAAGCTAGGATCCCCAAGCCCCAAACCCTATACCCTCAACCCTAAAAACCCCAAAAACCCCTCAAAACCCCTCAAAACCCCTCAAAAACCCCTCAAAACCCCTCAAAAACCCCTCAAAACCCCTAATAAACCCTGTACAGAAAGCCTTGAGGATGCATGCAAAGCTTCCATCTCCTGGGCGGACACCGCGCGGTGCAGCATGGAGTCGGCGGTGTTCCCGCCGTGCATGACATGGAGGCACACGCCCTGCTTTGGGTTTAGGGGTTTAGGGGTTTAGGGGTTTAGGGGTTTAGGGGTTTAGGGCTTTAGGGGTTTAGGGGTTTAGGGGTTTAGGGGTTTAGGGGTTTAGGGGTTAGGCTACAGGGCTTGGGGTTTAGTTAGGGTCCGGGGTTTAGGGCCGCAACCTGGACCAATGTTCAGGCTGAAGCTGCAGGTTCAAGGGTGCCACAGGGTGCCCCCTAAACCAAGAAGGGTTTAGGGTTTAGGGTTTAGGGTTTAGGGTTTAGGGTTTAGGGTTTAGGGTTTAGGGCTTAGGGCTTCTTGAACTGCAACCCACAAGCCCCTGAAGCTCTAAAACCCCCTAAACTCCCCTGCCTCCACGTCCCTGTGTAGGCCGACCCGGGGGCCGAAGGCGTCTCGCAGCTGGAGCATGAAGTTGACGTCCTACGCCCGCAGAGCCTAGTGGCATTTGGGTGAGCCCGCACAGGGTTTGGGGCTTTAGGGATCAGGCTCCTGAGAGCTTAAGAAGCCCCAAAGCCGAAACCCTATACTCTATTCGGGGCTCGCCACACGTGCGTCATCGTCGCTTAAATGCAGCCGTCCCGTGAAGAACAAAATAGCAAGCTGCTGAGCCCTAACGCCCTGAACCCCTCAGCGCAAACCCAAAACCTAAACCCCAAAACCCTTAAAGTCTACACCCCTGAACCCCTAGACTTCCAAACCCAACACTTCCGGGCGCTGGCAGGCTGTTGAGGGTTTCGAGACGTCCTCGCACATCTTCGTGTCCGGATACCTGCGCAGGCTTGAGGTAGTGTATGTCAACGGTTTAGGACTCAGGGACATTCAGGGTATATGGAGAATAAGTTAAGCAATCTCAAATCCTCTACCCTAGGCCCTAAGCCCCAAAAGCTAAAACCGTCTGGCAGCCTCGGCAGTGTCGCTTGGACTAAGAGATGCAGGAAACCCTGCTCATGAACCACTCTAAGCCTGACGCGAAGCCCTGAAGCCTAGATGAAAACCCCACTGCCCCCACAACCACAGTTCCCTAAGCCAAACCGAAACATCCCGAAGCCTCAGGTCACCCAACATTTCTACCCTAAGCCTAAACCCTCCCAGGAGAAACCCCGGCATTCCCGCTTTTTTCGATGGGATTGCTAGTGGATCCTGACTAATTAATGAAGAAAGGCACGTAAGGGCACCACTGGAATAATCTCTCAAGACATGTTGATATACCTTCGGGCCAATTTGGGGTTTTCCGAAATGAGGGGTACCTTCTTGGGGTCATTATTATGGGAATCCTACTATTTGGGATCCAGATTGGGGGTCCCTATTTTCGTAAAACCCCATTGAGTTGCTATTCCCTAAACTCTAAACCCGAAACCCTAAACCCTAAACCCTGAAACCCTAAACCAGAGCCCCCCCACAGCCAAAACCCTCACATCATCTCACATCTCTTGACAAGAGGCGGGTGCTGAAGCGCGGGCTCGCGCAGGTGCACCTGAACCCCAGCACTCTTTTGAGGGTTAAAATGGCGAAGGTGTAGGGTCTTTAGAAACTGTATAGGGTTCATGTACGGAGTTTCGGGCGAAAGTTGTGGTTGGGTCGTGTTTTTGGTGTTGTTTGGGCCTCCTTGGGATCTGGAGATTTACTTTGATCAAGGCAGACTTCTGCCTAAACCCTAAACCCTAAACCCTAAACCCTAAACCCTAAACCCTAAACCCCAAGAGTTCTGGTCGTTTGTCGTTTCTGGAGGAGCTGTTTTGAAAGCTTCGTCTGTGTGCAGTGCCGGCATTGTTGAGCCAAATAGCTTTGCAAGTTCAGAATGATATTCTGCCAGGTGCAGCGGCTGAGTTGGCCTCCAGGGACGCTTTGGATAGATTTAAATAGCCTCGGGTTTTAGGAGCTTTTCGGCCAGGCACTTGTGCAGTGCCAGCTCGCTCAGACAAACAACTTTGCAAGATCATGATGATATCACATATAGGTCCTATTATGTTGTCTTTATGGTTCAGGATCCCAAAGCCCGTCAGCCCTCCAAACGCTATACATCCAGAACTTCACAAACCTCTGAGCCCTCAAAGGCTTTGAAGTGAACAAAGACATGGATGAGAGTTGGGGGCTTGGGCTCTGCCTGGCACGTGCTAAACTCTAACCTCAAACCCAAAACCCCTAAAGCCCTCTAGAACCCCCTAAAATCCCTTTAAAACACCCCTAAATCCCCCAAAGCCCCCCGAAGCCCTAAAGCCCCCCCTGGAACCCCCTATAGAATTCCCTTTTAAACACCAAAAAAAAAACAAGCGGACAACTCTGAGCTTCGGCACGTAGGAGAAGCCGTAGCCGTAGACTGCGCCTTCCACCCCCGACCTGCCGGGAGTTTCAGGGTTTAGGGTTTAGGGTTTAGGGTTTAGCTGGCGAAGGAGGGTTCTTTCGGGTTTTGGGTTGCAAAACTTGTGGTTTAGGGCTCAGGGTTTGGGGTTACTTACTTGAAACTTAGGGTTATGGGGGGGTGGGTTAGGGTTTTATGCATTAAGGCTACTTACTGCGGGTTTGCGGGTCGGGGGGTTTAGGGTTCCCTGTTCGGGATTAGGGTTTGGGGGTGACTCAGGAATCGAGGACCGGCTTGGGGGTTCTAGGTTGAAGCGAATATGTTGCTGCAAGGGTCTTGATGCTGTTTATGAAGGGCTTAGGGATAACTAGGGCTTAGGGTTGAGGATTTTTGGTTTAGGGTTTAGGGTTTAGGGTTTTTTGGTTTAGGGGTTTACATGTAATCCATCTTGGAGGTGTTTCAGGGCTCTTGACCGCAGAGTTGCCGTGACCAGGCGCGCCTTCAGAGGCCTCTTAGGGGGGGGCCCAAGGCTTGCGAGTGGTTCTGTGAACTTAGGGTTTAGGGTTTAGGGTTTAGGGTTTAGGCAGCAAGAGCAAGCCCCAAAACCCCCAAGCCCCCCAGCCTGCGAAGTCGTTGGAGTTCAGTTTTGGCCATGGCTGAGACATTGGTAGCAGCAAGGTCCAGATCCGTCAGCGCCTCATTCGGGCAAGGGTCGGAGCTACCCACCTCAAAGACTCTATATGAGTCGGTAGGGTTCGGGCGGTGGTTGGAGGGCACCTAAAATCCCTCAGCCTCGAAGCCCTCAACCCTCTAAACCCTAACTTGTCTAGGGCCCCCAGCAAGCTAAGAGCCTAAGAGCCTCTATGAGGGTTCAGAAGGGAGTCTCAGGCCCTTACAAAGCCTATATCCCAGAGGTCCCTGACAGAGGGAAGAAGGTTTAGGGGTTTAGGGGTGTAGGAATTTAGGGCTTAGGATTTAGGGACTATGGTTTAAAAGAGACTGAAGTGGTGCCTCGGGATCGACGAAGCCGCATCGGTTCAGTCGCCTGGGCACCAAGACAGCACAAAAGCTGTGCTGGATGTGCCAACAAGCTTACATCTGAAGAACTTGCAAGGTGGTACATTGGAGCTCTGAGACTTTTGGGATGCTTCTCAAGGTTCGGTGATGAAGATTTAAGCCTAAACGGCCGAAGGGATACTAGGACCCTTAACTGGTTCAGCGCCAGCTGCGTGTCGAAGTCGTACCACGCACTCAGCGTGAGCGCCACGAGGTTCTTCCTACAAGGAAGGGTTTGGGGTTCAGGGTTTGGGGCCGCGTGGTTCTTCCTCCTACAAGAAATTTGGCAAGGCTCCCAAGCCTGTGTGTTGCAGGGATAGTGCGGCACCTCCCTGCCATGCTTTGCTCTCCCTAAGCCCGAATACCGAAACTAAACCCTACACACCCTACACACCCTAAACCTTCAGGGTTTAGGGTTTGGGGCTTAGGGTTTAGGGACCCTAAACAGCCCGGAAGCCCCCAAAGTCCGCTTTAAGATTTTAGAGAGCCACTCCTGTCTTCGTTGCCCCTCGGGCGAGAGGGTCTGGAAAGACTCTCACTCTTAGAAACAACCTGGGGGTTCCTATTTAGGTACACTTTTTAACTAGGATTCCTTCTAAACCTAAAGGAACTCTGACTGAGAGCATCCGCCCCCGTGGCCCCAAGCTTCCTCTGCACATCTTGGGGCGACTACTTGAGACTTACTTCGAATCGTTGCTTGCTAGTTCTGAGTGGAGAATGAAGGATTTAAGCCTCCTAAATAAAGGCCCTCAGGAGGTAACATGGAGGGACATCGGGTCCCTATTTTCATGCAAGGCTTGACAGCAGGCCCTAAACTCTCAGACTGGTCACCACAAGCTGCAAACAAATGCCTAGATACGATCAACTTAAACCACATGGGGGTTTACAAAAAAAGAAGGGACCCTCATATAGACCCCCAAATGGTAGGATTTCTTTATGATAAGGACCCCAGTAAGGTACCCCATTGTCGGAAACCCCAAAAAGAGGGCCATGTAAAGTATCCAACGGCCCTACCTAGCGAAGTCCCATGCTCTCGAGCCAGCTTCCGCAGTTCCTTCCCCGAGTGTCCTCTGCAGCACTTGCACCATGGATGAGATGTAGCCGGGCCCATAGATGTCATCGTCATCAAAATTGACAATCACCTTCCGTTCCAGCGCAAGGGTTTGGGATTTCTAGGCTTGAGGGTGTAGGTTGCAGGGTTTTTGCCTTCAGAAGCAAAGAGCAGAAGCTGATCTGGGCTTCAGGGCGCATCTTTTCGCAAGGGTGCTTTGGGCTTTAGGGCACAACCTGAGTGAGACCCTTACCCCCCAAACCCTAAACTCTGAAACCGCAACTGCGCCCAAACAAAAAAGTTCTACAACCCCATTCAAGTTCTGGGGGAGGGCATCGGGTTTAGGGATCAAGGCCTAGCGGACTCTTGAGGAACAATTGCTGATAAAGAGTTCTGTGTAGAAGTTGTCTATAAAGGGCCCTAGTTGCCCTAGTTACCCAGTTAGAGCAGCCCAAGCATATCCTAAACTTTCCTACAACGTAGAAGCCCGAAAATTCACATCCAGAATGACCTGTGCCTTTGTCAAGCCCCCCGAACCCTAATCGACAGACAAGCCAGCAAGGTTGACTCCCCTTGAACATATGCGGGTTCAGGGTTTAGGGGTTTAGGTTTTCGGGCGGATGCGTAATTGCAAACCCCAAGCTCTAAAGCCCCACACATTTTTAACCCTACGTCTCGACAACGCAAAAACTGAAACCTAAATCTGTGGTCCAAATCCCCGACCTCGACGCTCACATGGGGGTTTACCAACATCGGGTGCGCCTTTATACCCTCAACTGTAGAAGACCCCCCCCCTCCCCACCATCCCCCCTTTAAAAGGACTAATTTTTAGAACCTCGCATGACATCGGAATTGGACCCATAGTCACCCACACAGCTTGAAGGACGAGAGCTGGGTGTCTGGATTTTGGGGTTCGAATTAGGGGTTTAGTTTAGGGCTTAGGATCCCGTATGAGTATGCATTAGAATACAAAAAAAGGCGAACAAAGGGGTGCAGAAGGAACTAATGTTGAATTCCAGGCCCTCAAGCCTAAACGCTCACACCCACCCCCTCCCTGCCAGCAATTAAACTCTCTCACCCTGCACCCCCCCGCTCCCCCGCGTGCCTGACCCGATGCTAGGAAAATCCCAAGGTTTCTCTTGCAGCCGATGCTGCAATCACCTGCATAGGGGCATAGGATGCAGGATTCAGGGTGCCAAACCCTCCACCCTGAAACAAATCCAAAACCCTGAGCCTTGCGTGTCCTGGCTTCGATGCGGGTGCTCGACCGTAAGCCCATGCAAGCCCAATGTCCCCTAGCCTTCGATTAGCTCAGACTCATCTTGTTGTTCTCGGGCGAGCATCCCACAGACCGGAGAATGATCCAACATTAAACCTATAAACTCAGATCCTTGGCTGCCCAGGAACCTGCGAACAAAAACCGGTGCGATTTTATGTTTTTTAGCTGGGTTTTGCATGCGAGTTTACACCGTAAAAAAAAAAAGGACAGTATGCGGGTATCATTACGTTAAATTGAGCGTTAAGTTGAGCCTTATGGGGCTTAGGGTTGTAGACTTCGTCACCCAAACTCTAAGCCTTCAGCCCCATGCCTTCCAGGGAAACGTAGACCACGTTCTCGCAGCCCAGGGAATGGAAAAACTCAGAGGGCCGGGCGCGGCCCTGGCTGCGAGGCGAGGATCAGGGACTCTGCTGTGCTGGAGCGCTTAGGGGTTTAGGGTTTAGGGTTTAGGGTTTAGGGGGCCTGAACTGTCTGCAAGAGGCCTGTTTTGTGTCAGGGCCGGTAATTTCGATAGTAGGGTTCCTGTTATATAGCGGGATCCCCAGAAAGGAGCCCCAATGCAGAAGAACCACCGAACGTCCCATACCCGTAACTGAAAAGCAGCCTAAACCCTGAGCACCTTGAGCCCTAAACCCGAAAAAACCAACTCATCAACCCCAAGTCCCAAGACCCTGCCGCCCTGAACCTTTCAACCGTAAAAACCGAAACCCTGTTGAGGCCTGGTGGGTTTCGAGTACCACCAGCTCCTGCTAGACTGTCTCATTGAGGCTTCGGGTTTGAGGCTCTCGAAACCCTAAACCCTTAACCCTAAACCCTAAACCCCAAACCCTAAACCCGGGCGGTTTGGGGCTGAGAATATCCGGGTCAAACGGGGGCTTCATGAGTTTATGGTCTAGAAGTTGATTGGGTCCCGTGCTTAGGATGCGGCGTTACTGAAGGGGGTTCTGTTTTACTGTCGGTTCGGGTAACTCTTGGTTCCTGAAAAACCTCAGTCAAGTCCACCCCTCCACAGACCTAAGCCCAAGACCCAAACCGCTCAAGTCTAAACCCTCCCCTTAAGGGTCCTTAAGGCTGGCAGGTAAAAGCTGCAACCTTGCATGCTACATACTCTCCTGGAGCTCTAACTTGTGGAGGGCTTAGAGCTTTGGTAGGGCTTGAGGATTTAGGGCTTAGGGTTGGAGGGCTCGGACTCAAGTCAAGCCTTACAGTCATGGAGCCCAATCAATTTTGCAATTTGTCTTCCCCCTCAAGAAACCACTTGACATCCCTCCCCTGCAGCTCCTTGTCGCGCCAACTTTGGGCAGCGAAGCATTCCCAGAGCTGGGGGTGAAACCTGTGGTTTAAGGTTTTCGGTTTAGTAACTCAGGGAAATCATCTTAAACTCAGGGATATGAGGATGTTACTGGTTTAGATACTCGTGACCCTTCGGCAGGTGCTTCTGGACTAGGGCACTGACCTGGCTATAGAAAGACTGAAGAGCCCCAATACTCCTTAAACACCTGAGGACTAAACTCTACACCCTACTCCCTAAACCCTAAGCCCTTTTAAAGCTCCACCGCGACCTGGAGCATCACCATGAAGGAGCGGAATCCCAAGGAGATCTGACTAAGGAGCTCGGAATTCTTCTTACGCACCAGCATGTAGGTTTAGGGTCGAGGGTTTGGGGTTTGAGGTTGGGGGATTCGGGGAGTAGGGCCCGGAACCACAGTGCAGGTCTTATCTTGCCGGCTTCTCAGCAGTAGGTATAAAATGAACAACCGAGTCAATTTTTCAACACGAAGCCCTAAAGCCACCCTAAACTCTAAACCCTAAACTCTACACCCTAAACTCTAACCCCTAACCCCTAGAACTTTGAACCCTATCCGCCCAGGCACTTTGATCGTCGGCTGGTCGTGGGGGTTACCACAGAAACGCGGCACCTTGAAGCCGCGAGGGCTCGGGGGTTTTTGGGTTCTGGGGTTTAGGACTTGGACTCAGGGTTCCAGGCTTTTGGGCTTCCTGTTCAGGGTCCGAGAGGGCTTGGGGTTCTAGAGTTTCGGTTCGGGGTGTAGGCTCAAGTACACCATAAGAGTTCCTGGTCTTTGAGCCCAGGAGAAGATAGGTACCCGGGTACCCCGAAAAGGAAGAACACAAGCCGCCAGGTCAGCATGAAAACTTCATGGTGGGCATCTCCAGCACACGGCACCCGCTCTCGGGCGGCTCTCGCCGAAGGCGGCGAAGAGCTTCCGGATCCTTGTCGGGCATAAGGTGTACTAATCCTAAATCCAAACAAGGTGGTGGTCGGAATCATCTTGGGAATTGACCTGCGCTCTTGGCCGCTGTTGCGGGCCGGCAATATTAGTTCTACATATGCATTTACAAAAACAAGCAATTGCAATCATCATACTTGTCATTAATACCATTATGATCATTTGAATGAACTGTCGCTTGGGGGCACAGACTTTGACCAAACCACCGCCCCCTTCTCCCCACCCAACCCCATCTGGTAAGCCTAAACCCTAAACCCTGAGCGCTAGACCACAAACTTGGGACGTTCCCCATTATACTAAAAGTCCTTCATAGGGATTATAGTAGGGGGTACTATGATCCCCATTAAGGACTGCTAGTATGAGGGGGAACATCCCAACCCCAAACCCTAAAACCTAAATAAAGGCTTGAACTGCAGCTGGGTCACCCATTGTCCGGCGCTCTGATAGTACAGCGCCTTCTCCTGCTCTGGGGGTAAGGACACTGGGGCTTAGGCTTTCAGGGTATGAGGTTAGGGTTTTGGGTTTAGGGCCATTCGGGCTGCTAGAGTTAGGTTCGGGGTTGAGGGCTCCCACAACCACAGCCCCACGGCCTTGGGCTACATGGTTGATGACCCTACGTGGTTCAGGCAGGTCGAAAATGACCTTGGCCCTGTATACACCCAAGTAGTTTTTAGAGGGTGAATTCTTATGGGGCAGAGATGGTGTGTAAGGGGTTTCTGCCCTAAACCCTAAACCCTAAACCCTAAGCCCTAAGCCCTGAGCCCTAAGCCCTAAGCCCTAAGCCCTAAGCCCTAAGCCCTAAGCCCTAAGCCCTAAGCCCTAAACCCTAAACCCTAAACCCTAAGCCCTAAGCCCTAAGCCCTAAGCCCTAAGCCCTAAGCCCTAAGCCCTAAACCCTAAACCCTAAACCCAAGTCAGGCCGAGTCGCCAGGGGTGTCGACTGGGAGCTCAGGCGAACTTCTCTTGACTTGAGGTCGGCGGAGGTGTAGCTTCGTACTCGCCTCCCCTGGCAGTAGAAAAGGTTGAGGGCAGTCTAGGGTTCTTCGGTTTAGGGTTGAGGAGTTTTAGGGGTTTGGGGCTAGTGCTAGGGTTTAGGGCTAGGGTTTGGTTTGGGGTTTAGGGTCTTGGGGTTTAGGGTTGGGGTTTCGGGGTTTTGGGGGGCTTGGGGTGTAGGGTTTGGGCTTAGGGGCTTTACGTAAACCCTAAACCCTAAACCCTAAACCCTGAACCCTAAAACCCTAAACCCTAAAGCACAGCACCCTCGATCCTCATCTGCGTCCGGCTGTTTGGTGTTCGAGCTGGCTTCAGAAGGACCTCAGCCGTAATGAATACCCCTACAGTTTACGATTTTCGAGCTCGTGTAGGGCATAGGGTTAAGGGATCTTAGGGCGTTTAGGGTTAGGGGCTCTGATCAAGGCCCGTAAGCAAGGGAGGTTATTCACTAGCAGGTCGACATCAAACCGTGAAACTGAAGCACCTGAACCCTTCCCGAGAGAACTCAAGAGCCCTTAGCAAAAAACACCTAGGGAATCGTACTAGGGTTATCATACGCGCCCCTATGTCATGCCAATATAGAACCCTGAGCTACGGAGGAAATTGACGTTCATAGGTGCACCTCAAACCATATTCAGGATCCGACTCAGATTGAAAACGCTTCCCCCATAGCGTGCATAGGGGGTTCTCCTAAACTTTCAGGGGACTTACCCTAAGGCTCCAGGGAACCTCCGACAGAGGGTCCGGCACCTGATAAAAAAGGGCCCTGGTGTCCGCAGCTTTCTTGGAGTTTCGGGCCTGGAGTGTGTGAGGTCGCAGGAGCCTTGGAGGTATAAGCAGGTAGTTTGGTAAACTGGGAATTAGTTTTTTGTGTAAAAAAACTAATTCTCAGTATAAGTAGGTAGTTTGGTAAACTTTCCCTGAAGGGGCTTATGCGATCCCGAGTCCGAAAAGTTTGAGGTCTAGACACTCAACTGTTACGGTAGCAAGCAGGTAGCCAGGAGGATGACCCCACATAGCGCACTTGGCAGTCTCCTTTCGCCTCAAAAACCCCTGATCCTTCAAATAGCCCCAAAGCCTTGCCTGTAGCCTCAAATCCTAAATGGCAGACCATCACTATCACCCATCAACCAAAGAGCAGAGTACCTGTAGAGTCCCCAACCCTAGCCCCCGAAGTTCGGACTGTCAAGGATCCTCTCAGTAAACGCCATAACCCTGGGCACCCGACGAACGGGCATCTTTGTGACTGTCGCCTGAAGTTTGCCGGACGCGATGGCTGGGGGATTTCAGAGAATCCCATTAAAACAAATCATCTGGGAGGTACTTCGGGGTTTTGACTGCCTGGATAGACCCTAACATAGGGGTCGGAATTATTGCTAACAATATTTCCTCAGGGTCTTTTTATAATTACACTCTAACTGCCCTAAGTATTGAGGCAGCAAACAGTAAACAGTAAACAGCTAACCCTAGACCCTAAGCCCTAATCCCTAAACTGCGCCCAAAAGCCGAAATTGCCTTCTCAGCTTCCTGTACGAGGAGGTCTTTGCCCCGAGTCCGGATGCTGACCTTCGTGGCAAGAGAGGCAAAAAAACACCATGAAAACTAGCCCTAAACCGTAAACCCTAAACCCTACACCCTACAAACCCTAAACCCTGGGCCCTAAATTCAGAACTTAGAGTTTGGGGCCAGAGCTGCTAGAGCTCAAGACTTCTACAGCTTGCGCCGCAGTATGTCGCAATTATTGCTGTGGTGGGGATGTGCGTGGGGGATTGAAGGGCGCAGGGGGGTTTAAGGTTCGGGCGCTTTAGGTTTTTGGGCGCTCGGGGTCGAGGGTTTTAGGGGTTTCAATAACCAAACACGAAGAAAAAAAGCCGTTGTCCCCAAACGCTGAAAATAACCCCCCTAACCCTAAAGCCCTTAAAACCAAAACCCCAAGCCCCCAAAACCCTCCAAAACCCTCCAAAACCCTTCAACCCCGAAGCTCGGACCGCTAGGAGATTCCCCTAATCTACCTTCAATATGGTGGTTTCCGAGATTGGGGTACGTTACTGGGGTCCTTACTGCAAGGAGATCCTACTATTTGGGGGTCTATTTTAGGGGTCCCCTGATTTCGTAAACCCCAATGTGGCCCTTGTATTTCTTGGGAGTAGAGGATCTTTACAAAGATCGCCAAACGCAAGGGTACAACCTTGAGGGCCCATCGGGTTTGGCACTCTTCTTGGCACGCGCCTCCCGAAGTTTCTGGTTCTCTGAGAGTCTCCTCTGAAGTGACTCCTCGGCTCCGGCCAATCCAGCGTCTTTGGTCGTGAGGTGCTCCCTGGCCTCTGTCTCCGTGATGTTGTGAGGCCCTAAGTCCTTGATCACCTTCGGCGCATCCTCGGGAATCGGACCGGCTGACCGAAAGGATCCTGTCGCTCCAAATGCTGGAGTGTAGGATGGTCTCAGGGCGCACTTGGAGCATGTCACCCATTCTCCCGATTGATTCCGACCCGACAGCGATCCCCCAGCCATCGCAGCTGGCACATGGTTCCCATGGCATGGAGGCCCTATGGTTCGAGGATCTCGGGGATCTGCCGGCACCGTCCGTGCATAATTAGTCGTACCTCTCCTCCCAAGAGGTAGCCCCGTGATGCTGGCCCTAGACCCTAAACCCTACACCGCAAACCCTAAAAACTAGGCTTACCGCGGTGACTCCAAGCTGGCGAGGGGCCCAACCGGATGCAGGTCCGGTCCCCTCCACCAGCGCATACTGCAAGCGAAGGCCCTGGCGGCTGATCTCCTGAACTACGCGGTTTAGGGCTTTGGGTTTAGGGTTTAGGGTTTGAGGTTAGTGGTTTAGGTTTAGGGGTTTAGTAAGGTGTTTAGGGGTTTAGGTTTTTTAGGCGTTTGGGGGTTTAGTGGTTTAGGGGTTTAGGGCGTTTAGGGTTAGGGTTTTTAGGGTTTAGGGTTTGGGTGTAGGGGTTTAGGGTTTAGGGGTTTAGGGATGTAGAGGTTTAGGGTTTAGGGGTTTTTAGGTTTGGGGGTTGAGGGTCTTCGGACTTTAGGGAAGGGCACCCAGGGCAGGGCTTTAGAGTTGAGGAGTTGGGGAATGGAGGGTTTGGGAATTCGGGCGTAGGCTAATTAGGGGGTTTTGGGCTTTAGGGCTTCAGGGTCAGATGTGGCCGCATACGCGCTTGTCCTGGATCAGTGAGTTTGTCGCCAGACGCTCCTGGACAAAACGTGCACGGGAGCATGGAAGCCGACACGAACCTAAACCCTAAACGCCAAATTCTCCCTAGTTGCTGAGTAGTCTGGGCCAAAAGGGTAAAGGTTACCTCCTCAGCTACTAAGAAACTGCCCCAACAAATCCGCAAAAGGCCCAACAACAACTCAAGACTTACAGCAGGGGTGCCAAATCTTCTGCAGCTACGTCGGTAGAAAGAAGAGGCGTCTGCAATGGCATCGAGGGCTGAGTGCGGAGGGTTGGGGGCTTGGGTCCTGTGCCTTGGCTTGTAGGCACCAATTCGCAGGCTTCGGGTTCCCTATCCCGTTCTGTGTACGTTACGTGTCCCCGCAGGGATTTCAATAACAGTTGGCTGTGAAACTCGCTGAATGCCCTTTATATTTCTGGCCTGCTTCTCGGCGCTGCTGAGTCCTGTCAGAAGTTGAGGCCGGGAGGTTCCAGTCGAAGCTTGGGTGTCGGCGCTCCAAAAATGTGAAGTGTGTTTTTGTTTCGGGATTCTCTGAGGGAAGCTTTGTGGATACTCTCTTGTGCAAGAGAGCGGCCGAGCAGAATAGCCCAGTATTTATGCGATTTCCATAAGCCATAAGTTTAACTCGACAACCCCCATGCCGTCACGCAGAAGATGAAAAACACAAAAAACAAACTTTTTCCCAAATTCATAAAGAATCTAACCGCCTCCCCCACCCACCCCCCCCCACCACCCCACCCCCAACTGCACAGTACCCTAAACCCTGAGCCCTAAGCCTTAAGCTCCCTAACCCAAACCCAGTCCCCAAATCTACAGCCCTGAGCACTGGACTCCCCACACCCTATTACAAACAAACCCAGAACCTTGAACCCCAAACTCCAGACCCTTAGCCCCAAACCCTACACTCCCTGACACTCAACCCTGAGCCCTGAACCCAAAACCCTAGAGCCCTGAAACTTAAACTGCCCAAGTCCCGAAGCTAAAAATCCCAAACCCCAAGCCCTGAACCCTAAACTCCCCAACTCCATGAGCCCTGAGCCCCAGACTTCCTAAACCCTCCTCACCTCAACCCTCACCCCTCACCCCTCAACCCTCAACCCTGAACCCTGAACCCTAAACCCTGAACCCTAAACCCTGAATCCTAAACCCTGAACCCTGAACCCTAAACCCTAAACCCTAAACCCTAAACCCTAAACCCTAAACCCTCAACCCTCAACCCTCAACCCTGAACCCGAAGCCTGCTTCCGCTCGCACCAGCAGCCCGCCAGTCGTTTCGCCGCCGGCGACGCGCCAAAGCCCGGGCATCCAGAAGGCTTAGGTGCTTAGGGTTTCCCTAGAGGTTTAGGGTTTAGGGTTTAGGGTTTAGGGTTTAGGGCTTAAGGTTGAGGGTTTAGGGCTAGGTTCAGGGTTGGGTGCCTAGGAGCTTAGGGGGTTAGGCGCTTAGCGGCTTCGGGGCCTAGGGGTTCAGGCTGTTTGGGGTTTAGGGTTTAGGGCTAGGAGTTTAGGGTTTCGTTATGGCTAGGGGTTCAGGATGTTTGGGGTTTAGGGTTTAGGGTTTAGGGTTGGAGGTTTAGGGTTTAGGGCTAGGGGTTTGGGATGTTAGGGTTTAGGGTTTAGGGCTAGGGTTTTAGGATGTTTTGGGTTTACGGGTTCAGGATGCTAGTAGTGGAAGGGTTTAGGGTTCAGGGTGTAGGGGTTGAGGGTTTTTAAGGGTTTCGGGCTTTAGGGGTTGAGGGTTTTAGAGGTTAAGCCTAAATCCCTAACCAGACCTACAGGTCCGAAACTGACTTCAAGGTTGGGACCAGGAGCGTGGCGGCGACTAGGTTTCGGGTGAAGGCTTTGCGGACTTTAATTAGGGTTTAGGGCCTTTGGGGTTTAAAGTTTGGGCCTTTAGGGTTAAGGGTTCCGGGGAGGCTATTAGGAACAACTAGGGGCCTATCAAGCAAGCACCGGGGTGGGGCGGGGGGGTTGTGAGTTTCAGGCCCTCCTCAGGGAAACACAAACAACTCTAAACCCGAAACCCTAAACCCTAAGTCCTAAACCCTAAACATCCCTAAACCCTAAACCCCTAGCTCCGTTTTGTTGGGGTGTGGAAAGTAGGCCTTTGGCTGCGAAGCCTCTGTGGGGGCTTATACTGGGGACTCTGCCAGTTCCTTACTCAGGGAAGCTTCGAGATGAGAGTTTGAGGTTTAGGGTAACTTAATCCTAAACCCTAAGCCCTGAATCCTAAACCCTGAATGCCACCCCTGAACACCCCCACCCCCACTCCCCCCCGTAAAAGCCCTTAAGTCAACCTCGCAGAAGCACGGAACCTGAATGCTCAAAATAAGTCGAAAGAGCTCGGCAAAAGTTCAAATGTCAAGGGCTTAAGGCTCACGCTCATAGGAGTTGATGGCTTGGGCGTTCGATGCCCGTGCTCGGAAAATTAAGGATCCTTGAATCAGGGTTTAGGGTTTAGGGTTCAGGACGTCAAGGCGTAGGATGCTGGGGCTTTCGGATGTGCTATGATTCGACGCAATTCACTTGGATGAGGCTTGGGAAGACCTTTTAAGCTGTAGGGTTCAGGCTTTAAGAGGTTTAGGGGTTAGGTTTTAGGGTCTTGGGGTCTCGGGAACTCGCGCCACTTTATCTGCCGTCCTCTCGGGTCTGCACAGCTGGCCTCCCCGCGAACGGATATTCAAAAACGATATGGCAAGCGAGCTGATCATGGATGATCATGAGCCCCCAGGGACGTAGGGTTTGGGGGTTCCGGGAACCTTGAACCCTTAAGCTTGAAAATGTAACCTGGAAACCACATGGGTATTTCACAAAAAATGGGGGCATGCCCTTGTCAAGGGGGTGCCTACCCAAATAGAAGAGAACCTTGAAGAGACCCCCAAAAAAGGGCACCCCTATTTTCGGAAACCCGCATATGGATCTAGGGTTCAGAAGCAAGACGAGAAGCTGTGACAAAGAATGAAGGTTGACGGTCAACGGGGGGGGGGGGGCTCAAGTTCTTTCTCCATGTAGCCTGCCTTAAGAACTACCCACGCGTTCTTCGGATGCTAGGCTCCGATTCGAAACCACCAAAACACGTCTAACAATCAAGCGTTCACGCCTTGAAGCTTCCCACAACCCAAGAATACCCGTAAGTCATGCATCCTAAGGCTTTAGGTTTTAGGGTTTAGGGGCAACTGCGTCCTCCAAAATACCCCTAAACCCTAAACCCTAAACCCTAAACCCTGAACCCTAAACCCTAAACCCCCTCGGATCAGCTTGCGCTGGCCGCAGCTCGAAGCCGCCTCGCCAAGATCTCCAAACCCTAAATCTGTTGTCGAAACCATGGGCCTTTAGGATGGTCGCCAAACCCTAAACCCCAAACCCTAAACTAATCCCTAGTCCCTAGTCCCTAGTCCCGAATCCCTAAACCCTAAACCCTAAACCTGCCTAGTGTATATAAGGGTGAAAAAGAAGGGACCCAAATTAAGGGGCCCTACCTGGAACCCTAGACTGAAGCACCGAACACATCTTTGGGGATTAGGGTTTAGGGTTTGTGGTTTAGGGATTTGTTGCGGGTTTAGGCCAGGATAGATGCGGTGTAGGGTTTAGGGTTTAAGGGTTTTAAGGTTTAGGGGTAAAGCACTGAAGCATGGCCACGTTGGTTGGTGTGCTTCGTGCCCAAATAGGAACGACCTAAACCCTGCGCGGTACCGAGAATCCGAGAACCCTTCCCAGGAATTTCCCATTCAGATGACTTCCATATGGTGAGAGGTTTCTATGTTCTGTTGTTGCTGCTTGTTTTGGCGCGTCTGCCTTTTGGCTTTCAGTGCTCTGCCCCAGATCTAGCGGGGCTTTTTCAGCTACGAATGTTTGTATTGGTAGATGTAAACCCTAAACCCTGGACCCTAAACTAAACCCTAAGCCCTAAACCCTAAACCCTGAACCCTGAACCCTAAACCCTAAACCCTCCCATAGCTCTTTTGTCCCTCTAGCTCTGCTCCATTGACAGTGCAATGGCTGCTGCCAGCTCCTCGTCCAATTCCTCCGCCGGAGCCGCCTCTGCCGGGGCGCCTTTCTTGGGCTTCTCGCGCCGCTTGCGCTCCGCGTACCTGGGCCCTAACCACCAACCCTAAGGCCCAAACCCTGGAAGGCCTATAAACCCAAAAACCCTGCAAACCCTAAACCTCCTAAACCCTTAAACCCTGTAAACCCACATTACCGATTCCAGAGGGCCCCGAGCAGGTAGCCGCTAGTGTAGCCGGTAGGTTTTAACTTTGGGGGGTTTAGGGTTTAGGGTTTGGGGTTTAGGGTTTAGGGCCGCTACTGTAGCCCTTGGGTCTAACTTTTTTGGGGGGTGTTAAAGGTCTGGCCCAGGGGCTCCCTCCTTCAAGCGGTTAGGGTTCAGGGTTCAGGGTTCAGGGTTCAGGGTTCAGGGTTCAGGGTTCAGGGTTCAGGGTTCAGGGTTCAGGGTTTAGGGTTTAGGGCTTAGCGTTTCGGGATCAGGGATGAGGTTTTCAGGAGGTTAGCACCTTGGTGACACCCTAAACCCATACACCCTAAACCCTAAACCGGATGTCGAGGCACAGCTTTTCGTAGACGTCCTGGCCAGACCAAAGGGACTCGAACTTCGTGAGATCAATCCAGACCTTCACTTCATCCGCAATTTTTTAAAGCAGACCCTAAACCATTAAACGCTTAAACCGTAAACTCTTCTGCAACCGAAATCTTTATCCCCAGACAAATCCTTTTAACCCTATATCCTTAAAACCTCTTAACACCTACATCCTTTCATCCTTAAACCCTATATCCTTAAACCCTCTTGAAACCTACATCCTTAAACCCTATATCCTTAAACCCTCTTGAAACCTACATCCTTAAACCCTCTAATCCTTAAACCCTAGCCCCTTCTTAGCTGTCCAGTACCTAGGGGTTTTAAAGGTTAACCTTTGGGATTATAAGGGGAATATATTAACCCAAAAAGGTTAAAGGTTACCTACTCTACTACTAAGCCTTAACACCAATCTTCGAGCAAACGGTCCGAGAGACCTTGAGGTGCATGTGCGCGACGTTCTGAAAGTTGCCGGCGTTCCTGAGCGATTTACTTCGACCCTCAGTTCGCGCTTTAGGTTTAGGGTTTAGGGTTTAGGGTTTAGGGTTTAGGGTTTAGGGTTTAGGGTTTAGGGCGGTTTAGGTATAAGGAGGGGTGCCCTATGTAATCTCTTAAAGGGTGTATATAGGGCCCTCACCCAAAAGCCCTAAACCCCAAACCCTAAACCCTAAACCCGAAACCCTAAACCCTAAACCCGAAGAACCAGGACTTAGGGTGGAATCCTGCGCAGCGTCAGGTGCATCTCATCGAAGCCGCCGTGGCTTTCGGACGCCTCAGCGCCAACGCGCCAAAAGGTCGCCAGCTCCTCAGGGTTCTGGGGGGGTTTAGGGTTTAGGGGAGTAGGGGGTTTAGGGTTCAGGGGTTTGGGGGTTCAGGGTTCAGGGGTTTGCGGCTTAAGGGTTTAAGGGGTTGGGGCTTCGGGCTTAGACCCTAAACCCTGAACCCTCACCTGAGGGCGGCGTGCAGGGGCCGTTTGGGGTGTATGCTTCCTGGTTGCGGGTTTTCGAAGCTATGGCGGTTGGGGGTTCAGGGAGTTCGTTTAGGGAGTTCAGGGGGGTTTAGTGGACCCTAGGAACCCTCACCCCCGATGGAGTTTACATACGAATTCTGAGTAAGGAATTTGGGAGATGGGTCTCTACACAAATTCTTAAAGGCGAAGGCAACAACAGCATGCTAAAAGGGGTCTAGCGGTTTGCGCGACTTCGGCTATATGAGCCCTACTGGTACATGCGCCAAAACCTTTATGGTCCTAGACCCCTAGACCCCTACACTGACTAGTTAAACCCCCTAAGCCCTAAACCTCTAGCCCCAAACTAACCAAACCCAAAACTTGAGCCCCTCGATCCTAAATAGCCTCAAGGCCCCATCCTCATCATCGAGCTCGCTCTGCCTGCGCACGACTTCGCTGTTCTTGCTCGCAGCGAGGGAGGCTCGGGAGTTCGGCGCCATCACCACCACGTAGCCTGCTAGGAGTTCCGGGCATAGGGTTTAGGATGTTGATAGGGCTTGGGCAGACCCTAGTATCTAAACCCCTGCACCGCGTCCTTTTTCGTCACCTTTGAACCGTGACTCCGTGATTCACTCGAAGCTGTAGTAAGAAAACTCTGACCCCTAAAGCGTGAAACCCTAGGGCCCTTAATTTAACACCCTAAAAACCCAAGAACCCTAAAGCGCTAAGCACCTAAACCCTATAAACCCTCAGCCCTAGCATCCCCAAACCCCAACTTAGGGTTTAGGGTTTAGGGCTAAACTACAAGACCGGGAAGCAAGATCTGCCCTGGAAGTCGAGGCTGCATCGGACGATAGCCTCGGGCTCCTCCGCGGCGCCGCTCCGGGGAGTTCCGGAGGGTTTAGGGTTTAGGGTTTGGAGTTTGGGGCTTGGGGGATATGTGCAACATTTCCCAAAATTCGATCGCCCTTATCGTTGCTCTAGGAGCCACCAGGAAGAAAAGGTAACACCAATTCTGACGGAGGGTGGTTTTCGGGCTCGAGGGCCTTTAGGTTTGGAGTTCTTGAGGTTCTTTAGGGTTGTATGCAGTTTAGCTTGTGCAAGGTTTATGAGGATAGCCCCTTTGGCTGCTATTTCTGAAGCATTCCACACCCGGCGAGTTGCCCTAACGCCTACCAAAAGCGCACAACAGGGCTCAGGGTTGCGGGCTTTCCTCATACCCGAGAAAACCATGAAGCCCCAAACTCTGAAGTACGCGAAGCTCCCTCAGACCCACAAAGTATAATACTACCCCTGAAAACCTTTAAGCCCTGAAAACCCAAAACACTGCTAGGCCCTTAAGACCCTCAATAACATAAACCCGCAAGAGCCAGAAACCCTGGTAGTTCTGAAAACCGTAAACACCATGGAGCCCTGGAGACCCTAAGTTCTTTAAACCCATTGAATCAACACGCAAGAACCAGAAACCCTGGTAGCTCCCCTGGTTCTTAGCAGGGAATGAAGGAACTAGGGCCCTGTATATACCCTTTAAGGGATTATGTAGGGGTACCTCATTCCCCCCATTCCCTAGGAAGAGCCACCCTGATAGCTCCTCCCCGCGGATCAGGCAACTCCGCAACGTGAGGCCCGGCACCTCCACGTGCTTCCCAGAGGCATCCTAGCAGGGCAACTGATGGCAAACCGGGCTCTTGATGGGCGCTTCAGAGCCTTCGGGGTTTTAAGGGCTTAGAAGGCTTAAATTGGAAGAAAACAGAGGTTTGAAGGTTTCATGGTTTAAGTGTTCAAAGGGCGGAAGGGTTTTTTGCAGCTGTTCATGGCTTAAACGGCAAAAATATTTAGATGGTTTTTCTCAAAGGCTCAAGGGTCTAGGGCTCAGGGGCTTCAAGGCTTTCCGGCAGGTTGTGGGTTAGGGTAGGGTTCGGGGGGTTTAGACCCCGAAGCCCTAAACCTAAACTCTACAAGAGGAGCTTTGAAGCCCCTAAATGAAACTCTAACTCCCCAAACCTTCACCTCTGAGACAGGCCTGCCATTCCAAACTGCATTCAGGGTGACTTAATGAGCTCAGCTGTGCCCTGGCAACCCTACCAGGACCCTACTCTCCCCGTGCATTCAAAAAAAGGCATGCATGGCGAACATGTCAGATACCTACCCTGCTACAAAAGCTAAACGCCTCAAACTCTGAACCCTGAACCCTGAAGCTGCAAAAACTAAAGGCCTCAAACTCGGAACTCGAAACCCTGAACGGTTTTTATTGGCTACTCTGAGTCAGCCGCCAAAAAACCTCCAGAATCCATGGCATCCTAGACCCTAAGCCCTGAACCTTACGAAGCCCTAAACTCTAAACCCTAAACCCTAAACCTTAAACGCTAAACCCTAAACCCTAAAACCGTGGCATCCCTAAGCCCTCCTGGTAGATGATCGGGGCATCCAGATCATCGGCGTTGGGCATCGCAGGAATGAAGCGCACCACGGCGTTCGTCCCCGCCACGTAGACCAAGAAACCTTGGCTATGGTTTCGGGGCTTGGGGGTCTGGGTTTAGGGTTCAGGGTTCAGGGTTCAGAAGTCATTAAGTGCATTCTGTTCTTTTGTATCATAAGCTGCCCTAATCCCCCCGTCGCAGAAATGCAAAGTCTTGAGCCAATCCGATTCGCTGAGGGGCCAGCAGCCGCCGCCGCTTCGCAGACAGGCCGCGCGCCCTTCATGGTTTAGGGTTTAGGGTTTAGGGTTTAGGCTGCACTTCCGCACAACATTTAACCCTCAAGCCATGTCCATGGAGCCATCATCCCATCAGCCCTCAAACCCCCGAACCCTACTACCCTCAGGTCCCGAAATCGCGCACAAAAAAGCCCATAAACCCAGCAAAAAAAGCACAAACCCCTAGATCACTAGATCCCCCCTGCAACAAAAGACTGTGAAGAAAACACCGAAAACCCCGCCTCTGTCAGCAAGAAGAGGGCCAGGGGTTCATCCCCGGAAGCCGCTGCGGGAAGATCGGTGGCAGCGCCCGGCCAGGGAAGCACCCGAAGGTGGTAAGAAGTCAGGCCAAGCTCCTCTTTTTTTTTTACTCTTGGGCTTAGTGTTTAGGGGTTTAGGGAATCGGGCTTCGGTTGGCTAGGATGTTGGGTTTGGGGCAGTTGGGCTTTAGGGTTTGGGTGCCTAGGGCTTTCAGGGGTTCAGGGCTGCATGACCATTTGTCGGTTTGGAGTTTCGGGATGGTGGGCTACAACGACACACAATGCAGATACTTCTCAGACGCAAAAGCCACAATTGGGTTCTAGAAGAAATTTCAAAAAACTCTCGCAACTATTTTGTTGCGACGAGACACCCCTGTCATGCTCGGGCTTCAGGTTCAATATCCTCAAGGGCTTTTATAGGGGTGGCTCATGATCTTTAAGGGTTCAGGGGCTTACGGCTCATAATCCTCAAGCATCTAGGGTGTAATTAACCCTCAAGAGCTTGTAGGTGTTTAGATTGTTGTGATCCTTTAAAGGTTGCTCCTCCTCGATCACGTGGAGCACCTCGCGCATGAAGGGTGCGAACGGCGCCGTTCGCACATATTCCTCAAAGCGCGTGGCCTCCCCGCGGTCGTTTGGTGACAGTGCCGCCATGATGGTCCCACGCTGGCTGACGCCCACATGGTGGAGGACCAGCTTCGGGGGCTCCATGGCTCCAGCGCAGGATAGCTACTGTCTGGGTGAGCCCTATACACCCCAAACCTTAAATCCAAAACCTTAAACCCTCTTCTGTCTGTGGGTCGAAAAAAGGTTCTCATGCTACCAGATTCAGGGCTCTTCATGGACTTCAGGCGGTGGTATGTGCATCAGCACAACCTGTTTAATATGATATCATGAAGCAAACATATCATTAACAAACGAAATATATATATATATATACATATATTGTACATATTATATGAAAATGTATACATGTATTGTTTGCTATGATTCGAGTTCCAGATACTTCTACAGGGTGTATAAGAATTTCTACAGATAGATGGATGGATAGATGGACTCGTGTTCACGAATCCAAGCATGTGACGAATGGCCATGCTAGCGAGGCTGCGATCGGCTCCTGTCAGGGTGTAGCTTAGGATTTTCCCTAAGCAATCTCGAACACTAAAGCCCCGCAGCCCCCCAAGCCTAAACCCACACTGAACCCAAAAACCGCCTAAACCCCTGAGGCCACCCAGAATGCCTTAACCCAAGCTACCACTAAAGCCCTACAAAGGCCGATTCAGAGTGGTAGGGTTAAGAGCTTAGAGAGCTTAGTGCTTAAAAGCTCGAGACCCCAAACCCCGATATATGATCCCTGTACTGGTAATGAAACTCTATAGAACCTCAAAGTATAAACCTGTACCCCCCCCCCCCCCCCCCCCAAAAAAAAAAAAAAAAAAAAAAAAAAAACCGAAAGCCCTAAGTCTTGAAGAAGCTCTCGGCCTCCCCGCCTCCTCCTTAAAGGCTTAGACTCTGTGGGGCCCCAGGTCCGAAACCCTAAACGAAAGGACCGAGGGGGTTAGGGTTTAGGGTTTCTAGGTTTAGGGTTTAGCGTTTAGGGTTGAGGGTGAACCCTGAAGCCCGAAACCGCGGCGTTTAGGCTGTGCTGGGGCATCATCAGCTTTCTGGACCCTCAGCCCCGAAACCCTAAACGAAAGGACCGAGGGCCAAGTTACTGAAAAACCGGCCCTAATTAGCCTTAGAGCAATCAGAGGGCAGCCTTCTCCTCCACCGCCACGCGCTCGCGGCGCCAGCCATGCGCTTCACTGCGTGTTGCAGCGACCTGCGCCACAGAAGTCATTGCTGTTTGTTGGGTTTTGGGGCTTGCAGTTTAGGGTTTAGGGTTTAGGGTTCTAAGAGTTTTTAGAGTTTCATAGAGTTTCTGTAGGGTTTAGGGTTTAGGGTTGGGGTTTGCGGCTTTAGGGTTTAGGGTTTAGGGTTCTAAGAGTTTTAGAGTTTCATAGAGTTTCTGTAGGGTTTAGGGTTGCAGTTGCAGGGGCGAATGGGCTAGAGAGGGCTTGGCTGAACCCAGGACTTGGTACTTGGGTATTTCCCAGGTTTAAAGCGGGCTTGGGTTTAGGGTTTAGGGTTTAGGGTTTAGGGTTTAGGGTTTAGGGTTTAGGGTTTAGGGTTTAGGGTTTAGGGTTTAGGGTTTAGGGTTTAGGGTTTATGGGTTTAGGGTTTAGGGTTTAGGCTGCTCTACATTGTGGGCCCATGGTTTTGGGCACAAACCTTGCAGGGGCCCACTCAAAGGGCACGAGACGTCTCTAAACCCCCTAAGCACCCTACAAACCCTATAGACCCCCAAAAACCTTACACCTTATAAACCCCATAAAGCTTATAACCCCCATAAAAGCTATAAACCCCATAGAACATATAAACCCCAAAACCTATAAACCTTGTCGAGTGGAGTTCGAGTAGGCGGTCCAACCAATCACCCTACATCCTACCCCCGGATGTAGTGCTTACTGCGCGGGCTTGGGGTGTGCCTAAACCCTAAACCCGAAACCCTAAACCCTAAACCCGAAACCCTAAACCCTAAGCCCAAAATCCGGTCACCTTGCAAACTTTGTCGATTGCTGCGGCCAGAGGGAGAACGGCACCTTAGGGCCGTCCTCAGCCTTGGGGACCACACGAACCCCATGAGTACTGAGAGGGTTTAGGGTTTAGGGTTTAGGGTTTAGGGTTGAGCCTCGACTACTAGCATGATTTCTACCTAAGTTGCCCAGGAACCTAGGATTGAGACGGCGGTTGATCAGGGAGCCTAAACAACCCCCAAGAAAGGGAATAAGGGTACGACTGGGCATCTTGGCTACTATGGTTTAGGGCCCCTCGGGCATATGGACCATACGGTTCCATGGTTCATTTGGTCCCCAAGGGCTGGAGCCTACCAAGAGTCATCTTCTTCTAACATTTCCGCGTAGACATCGTCGATGAAGATGTCGGCGGCAGGGAAATGGGCCGTGAAAGCATCCGTGGCTTCTGTACACAAAGAGCCCGCGTCCAAACGACGAGCACCGCCTTCAAAAGGAAAGTCAACCGTTCTACCGAAATCAACGAAGGGAGAGGTGTGGCACCCAGAGAATTTCTTCAAATCGGGCACATGCTGCATCAATACTGCAAGCATCTCATTGGTCACTTCGGCCGCGGAATAGACTTGAACTTCTTCCAAACTGCGGCACTCCTTGAAGGTCTTGAGCAGCCACAGATGCTTTTGCCCACAGGTTGCGTTGATGAACGCCTTGCTGGATACATTCAGAACTCTCAGCTGTGGAAAGTGCCCCAGAACCCAGAAGTCTCGCATCACCTGACGGCCCACGATCAGCTCTCTCAATCCTTTTGCAGGGGGTGGGCGCAGCTGCACCCGATCCAGGTGGAGAGACCTCAAGGACGTACACAAATCCAAGGATGCTTGAACTTCCGCTCCCATCTTCGCCGACCCACAGGCGCTCAGGCACAACTCTTGAAGCCCTGAGAAGGACTCCAGGGCCCAGCGAACTGAGGAGGAGTGCAAGGAGGAGCTGCTTGCAACCAGCCGTGCCACCTGACCTGTCCGAAATCGCCTCAACGCGGCCTTGAGGTCGTCGTCGCCGACCTCGGAATTCTGAAGCTCGGGACTCTTCCACGTCTGGCCTGCAAGAGTTATCGTCCTGCCGAATTTGGCTCCGGGAAAGAGACACATGCCGAGGTCGAAGGCCAGGTGGGAGCCAGCCCGTCGATGCGCGCACTTCCACGATCCCATGTCCACCTGTGCATCTGTGTGGGGTTGTGATGCAGGCCGTATTCTTATTGATACCGCCTTGATTTGTGCCGGCCGCGATTTCGGCACTTCGGAAACTGCTACGAACAGGAGCACGATATAAGTGCTCAAAAGCGAGCACAGCGCTGTGCTTCACGGAGGCGATTTTTGAACACCAAGAATGGACGCACGAAGTGAAGCCGCAGCCCGAGAAGGAGGAAGTTAGGTCCCTGCCACGTTAATTCGCGACACGGCGATGCAAGCCGAAAAATGTGCACGAAACCGAGGCGGGAGCGGGATTTCTCACGTCGGACGCCAAAACCGTAAATGAGATATTGACTGCGACCACAAATCCCACATTCAAGCCCACATTCAAGCCCGTGCCAACCTACACCCTAAACCCTAAACCCTAAACTCAACAACGAGCGCCCGAGATCGAGGCAAAAAAGTTCGTGGAACCGGGCCCTCGCGCGTGCCACGGGGCTTCCGCGATCTCAATGTTAGATCCCCCCACTTGGAGGTTCAGGGGTACTTATTCTAGGGCTTCGGGTTTAGGGTTTATGCTGTACGGGTTTTTATGACCCCAAGTATAACTGTACTTATAAGACCCCTATGACCTCCAGATAGGCTATAAGTAGATGTATAACCGCAGTGCACATAAACCTCCCCCTAGTGTTGCCACTCTCTCCTGCGGAATCTTGGGGGCTCTTGTTGCGACGGACCTCCGAAATCCTAAACCGGAAACCCCAAACCCGAAACCCTAAACCCGAAACCCTAGACCCTAAACCCCAAGCCCCAAACCCTAAAACCCATCTCAAAAAAACCACAGACCTCCACGTCCGAGGCCAGGCTATAGGCCCGGTCCAGCCACGTCCTGCAGGTCATGCCGATCCTCTGTAGTGAGCCAATGGAAGCATAGCTGAGGATCCTTACGGGCTTTGGAATAGGGCGTTTAGGGTTTAGGGTTTAGGGTTTAGGTTTGGGGTTTAGGGTTTCGGGTTTAGGGTTGAGGGTTTGGAGAAGAAAGGTTAAGCCTTGTGGTTTTTGAGGGGCTTTAGAGCAGCTAAAAAGTAAAAGGTGGCCTGCTCAGCACCTTCTTTTGGCGCCTTAATGATGGTAAAGCGTTTTGGGGATCATTTCATTATTTAGTATAACTTTTTACAGGGACCACAACAAGGGAGGGCTCTTAGTAACTGCCCTAAATCCTCAACCCTAAACCCTAAACCCCCCATGGTACAAGGATCTGAGCTGTGAGGACATCGTCACCCAGCACCGCGTAACACTGCTGTCCAGGGCCCCGCCGGCGCCGACAGCAGAAGGGGAATCGCGCATTTCCTTTGGGGGCCAAAGGAACCCTAAAATTGTGGGGGCGGGGGGGGGGATTTAGGGTTTAGGGTTTAGGGGTAAGGGTTTAGGGTTTCCGGTTTAGGGGTCCTATACCTTGTGTTACTAAAAATTTCCTATTCATGAATGTGAACCATAAGCCCTTTTAGGGTTCATCTCGGTCCCAAGGTTCGGACCAGCTTGTGCGGCGGAGTGGGGGGCGCGATGTCGACGAACGAGACATCGATTTCCTCGTCCAGGTCGAGGCCCGCCATGCCCAAGCAAGCAACGGCTTAAGGGGCCCAATTGCAGTGTACAAAAATTCTCGAGCCGTCAGTGGTCATCGGATCATCCCTGCATAGTAGCTCGAGATGCCCATCCCCCAAAGTAGACATAAGGCAGGTTCCCTTTGAGTAAGGGTTCCCCGCGCGCAGCGAACCTTTACGGAATAACGGCTTTGTTCAACCCTAAACCCGACATGAACATTTCTTCTCAGGTAAGGGCTTAGGGATCGGGGTTAGGATCATAGAGTCATAGGGTTTAAAGTTGACGTGAAATTTCATGGTGCGTGGTAATCCCTACACGGCCTCGCACAGCCCCGCACCAGCGCTGGTGGCAGCAGCATGGCAGCCTGCTATATTTCTGAGCCAGGAAGCCTAAACCCTACACCCTTGAAGTATCTTCAGGGGGCTGCCCCCAAACACTGCATACACCCTAAACCCCTAAATCCGAAGACCGTGCATTTCGGGCTTAGGTGGAGCTTTCTAGCTCGAAAGGGTGTGGGGAAGGGATGGCGGTCTATTCCAAGCTTCGCAAGTCTGTGAGATAGGAAGCCTTGAATCGATATAAATTGGAAGGCACCCCAGGTTTAGGGTTCAGGGGTTAGTGTCTCGGTTTTTGGGTATTTCCCCCAAGCCCTCAACCCCAAAATCTTCAAGCCTTGAATTCAATCCTCCACCCCCCAAAGTCCTCAAAGCCTGAAGCCCTGGGCCCTAAACCCACCTTGGCCGTGGCGGCCCCAGCGCCTGCACGCTCGGTTTGAGGTTCAGGTTTAGAGGGGGCAGGGTTTGAGGGTTGACGCTGGGGGTTTATGGTGGCAGGGCTTAGGATTTGGGATGTAAGGCTTGGGGCTTAGGGTTTAGCAGGGCCTAGGGCTTGGCGGATTAGGGTTGGGGTTTAGGGTTTAGGGTGTAAGATGTGCGGTTTTTAGAGGTTCTTCAGTCGACTCGAGGTTTGTTCAGGGAACTATGGGGAGTCAAACCCTAAATCCCCAAACCTCAAACACCCAAAACCCTGGTTTGGGGTTTAGGGTTTGGGGTGGGGGCTCAGCACTTTCATACCGAGAGCTGCTTAACCCTAACCTCAAACCCGCCCCTAATCCTGAAATTCTACACCCTAAAGCCCCAAGCCCTGCACCCTTAATTACATCCTAAAGCCCGGCCCCAAAACCCCAAGACCTGTGCCTAAAACCTTGTAAAGCCCGACCCCCAAGACCAACGCCCAAAACCTTCTAAAGCCCGACCCCCAAAACCCCAAGACCTACGGCCAAAACCTTCTACAGCCCGACCCCCAAAACCCCAAGACCTACGGCCAAAAACTTCTAATCCCCGACCCCCACAACCCCAAGACCTATGCCCAAAACCTTCTAAAGCCCGACCCCATAACCCAAGACGTACGCCTAAGACCCTAAACCCTAAACCCTAAACCCTAAACCCTAAACCCTAAACCCTAAACCATAAACCCTAAACCTCAAGACCGGAAGGCCAACCCGGCCTGCTCCTGCGCTGAGGCGCAACGCCACAGCCACGGCTCCCTCCGCGGATGGTCCCCCCCACCTGGCCGCCAGGCAACAAACAATCACAATCACAACCCCTACCTGGTTCAAGGTGCATTCCGTAATTGGGGGCATTGCGTCTGCACCCCAAACCCTGAACCCTAAGCCCCAGCCGCCTAAACCCTAAGACCCTAGGGTTTAGGGTGTGGGCTTTCAGGATGAGAGTCTAGCGTTTGGGACTGGCTTAGGGTTAAGGATGCAAGATGGCTATAGTTCTTTGCATTAGGAGTCCCGTATTGGTCCTCTATGGAATATGGCACCGCTCAAAAAAGCGACCCACAAAGGACCCTAAATTCAGAGAATCTGCCCTGGGTTGATTCGTATAATATGGGGTTTACAAGGGAACCGAACTGCTAAAAAAGGGAAGAGAGGTACGAGCAAACGCCCTACACACCAAACACTCTTTGCAGGTTTGGGTCTGGGGCTTCGGGTTCAAGCAGGGATTAGGGCTTAAGGTTCAAGGGAATGCGTCGTAAACTTTTCCTTTTTACAAGCAATGCCCCTCCCCCCCCCCCCCCCCCAAAAAAAAAAAAGGGCGCAGGTTATCTGATATAGGGGCTTAGGGGTTGACAATTGAGGCGTTTAGGGGTTTATGGGGGCTTGGGGTTGAGGGGCTTCGGGAATTTCAGGGCTTAGGGTTTACGGCTTAGGGGTTTACAGGGGCTTAGGCTTACAGGGGCTTAGAGCGGCTTGTAGGGGCTCGGGGTTTGGGGTTCATGGAAGGGGCTTTCGGGCGGCCCCGCCCGAGCGTCATCTGAAGGAAGCCCGCTGCAGCCCCCAAGACGCCACCGGCGACGATGAGCGTCAGCTCGTCCTCACTTTCGGGTCCAGGCTCTGTCTGGTTCAGAACTTTGGGCTTATAAGGTTTAGGGTTTAGGGTTTAGGGTTTCGGGTGTAGAGTTTGGGGCTTAGGGTTTAGAGGGTTGGTAGGGTTTAGGGTTTAGGGTTCAGGGCTTGCGACGTCGGAGTCGTTCTTGGCCTCAGGGTGTCTTCCTATCCGGGGATGAAGAGGGTTGGGGGCTTGCGTCCTGTGCTTAGGGGCTTTTTTTTTGCGGTTTCGGGTTTAGGGTTGAGTGCCATGCAGTCGTCATCATGGCATCCACTGAAACCCTAAAACGCTGACAGGAGCCCTTGCAAACTCGATCTGTACACCCTAAACCTTAAGACCTGAGACCCAAACCCTACAAGCCCAACGAAACCCCAACCCTACACATTGGGATGTTCCGCCTTATACTAACAGTCCTTAATAGGGATTATAGTACCCCCTATTATAATCACTATTCAGGACTGTTAGTGTAAGGGGGAACATCCCAACCTACAACCCTAGCAGACCCTTAAGAACCTAGACCCTCTCCTCCGACCCCAAAACCTTTGTAGGGTTAAGGTTTAGCGTTTGAAAAGGTAAGCCCTGATCTCCCCTAAGCCCTAAACCTGAAACCCTAAACCCTAAACCCTATACCCTAAACCCTAACCCCGGAATCCCAACCTGCGGTCCTCTTGGAAAACGGGGTGCAAGAGGTTCTCAAACTCCGGGGCGCTCAGCTGACAAAGCCGCTTGAAGAGCCTGGCGTTCCCCAGGAGGTCACTCCGAGGCTAAGAGCCCCAAACCTACCCTACTAGGGTTTAGGGTTTAGGGTTTAGGGTTTAGGGTTTAGGGTTTAGGGTTTAGGGTTTAGGGTACTGTCTATTGTAGGTTACTACCAAAAAACCCCTTGCATACAGGATTCTTCTAGGTAAACCTACAAAGTAGCTTTTGGGTAAGGCAGGGGGTTGAAGGGGGGTTTAGGGTTTAGGCGTTCAGGATGTTTTCAGGAGCGCGCCTCTCTTTAGATTTTTCGGCTTCGTTTGAGGTTCGGGTCTACCCTACACCCCTCGAAGATCCTAAACCCCCGTTTTGTTCCTCCAATTCCACAATCTTGGAATCTGGGACTTGTAAGGTTTAGGAATTAAGGTACGGGGCTTAGGATTTGGGATTTAGGGTCCGTCACCCAGTTTAGGGTCGTTTAGGGTTTGCGAATTAGGCTTCAGGGTCCGTTGCCCGGGAAATATGAGAAAAGTTTAAGGGAAACCCTAGACCCTAATTATGACGTCAAACCCCTTCCCCACCCTCCGGGGCTTGTAGACAGATCTGTCCCCGGGTGCGTGAAAGCGTGTGTGATAATGACTTACGTAGGTTTTGGGATTCCCCCGCACGGGTTTGTTGAGGCAACGGGTTGGTCGAGAGGCGCGCAGTTCCCACAGCTATATACTTCTGGCGAGCAAGCCCGAAACTGAATTACTTCCGAACAATCGGCCCTAACAGCTATAAAGAAAGGGCCTGAATAATTTGAATAGGGCGTTGGGGGGCCATGGACAAGATCATGATCACCTCTGATCATTGCACAGTAGCTGCGTGTGCGTTTCGCTGGGCATCCATATTCTTCCGGTCTCAAGAATGTGTGGTGCAACTGGTACTCTGGCAGCAGCATCTGGAGCGTGGCATAATCGAAATTCCTGGTGTTCTCGTGCAGGAATGCAATCGGCCGAAGCTTCCTCACCACTGCAATCATGATCACAAACGCCAGGGCGTGGTTCCCGAGAAATCCCAGGCCTTTGCCCATAGAAGACCTCATGACAATGATGGAGACTACAGACAGTCGCCCTAAGGGAACATTATTAGAAATTATTCCGACCCCTATATAGTATCTCGTTTTAGGGTTCGGGGTTGCGGGCTTAGGAGGGAAGGCCATACGCTTCGGAGATAAGATCAAAACGCGTCCTTAAACCCTAAACCTAACCCAAGCCCAAGGCCCCTAAAGGCACAAATGTACAGGGCGGCTCGACGTGTCTTGGAGCTGCAGCTTGCTATCCTCAGTACCAAAAGAGCGCCCCATGTTCAAATTTGAGGTTGAGGGGTTTCGTTTAGGGTTCTTTCAATCTATAGGGTATTTAGGGTTCAGTGCTTTCGGGAATATACCCCCCAAGGGTCTACTCTCAGTCCTCGGTTGAGGGTGCAGGGCTGAAGAGGCTGAGAAGGAAGCAAGAAGCAAACCCTTTGAGCAAACGCCACCCCACCCTCACCCCGACCCCGCTCGCCCCCCCCCCCTCTCCCCCTCCCCCTCTCCCTCCCCCCTCCCCTGTGGAACTAAGCCGTAAACCCGTAGGTTTAGGGTTCAGCGCGTAATTAGGGTGGGTTCAGCTTTTAGAGTTTAGGGTAAATAACCCTCAATAACCCTGAACCCTAAACCCTAAATAAACCTAAAATCCTGAAACCCTAACACCCACCCTAAAAGCCGGAAAGCACAATGCCCCAATAACCCTAAACCCTAAAATTCTGAAACCCTGCAAGCCCCAATAGCCTTTTAACCCAAAACCCTAAACCCTTAACGCTGGGCAATTTTTGACTTGAACCATCGCCACGTGGGTATGTCAGCGGCGTGGCACGCGCTCTTGCAGCTTGGCGCGTAGCAGAGCCTCCATGGTGGCGTGGTGCCTGAAGACCAAGGGTTTAGGGTTTAGGTTTAAGGGTTAAGGGTTAAGGGTTAAGGGTTAAGGGTTTAGGGCGTAAAAAAAGCACACGTCGACATCAAGGAGCCTCTGAAGCTTGGCAGAAGCCGCAAAGGCGGCTTCACCCCCATCTTCGGCCGTGGAAAGAGAGGCTTGGTTGTAGGCTAAGGCCTCGTGCACAGGCATAGGGTTTAGGGTTTAGGGTTTAGGGTTAGGGTTTGTACTATAGGGGCCTTCATAATCGCAATAGGGCTTGGGGGGGGGGGGGGGGGGGGGGATTGTAGCGATTCCGACCCCTATAGTTTAGGGCTTGGGGTTTGGGGTGTTGAAGGGAAGCCTTTTGGGGTTTAAGGGGGTTAAAGGGGCTCAAGAGGTTTAAGGGGTTTAGGGTTTGGAGGCTTGCTGGTTTGGGGTTTAAGGGTTTTTGGTGTTTACGTCTTAGAACCCTGTTTAGGCCTCAACGTCCAAGATGCTATCCGAAACACCCCATTCATTGTTTAGGGTTCTTAAGGACCCAATCAGAAATGCTGCTCATGGTCCTCCTCCTGCCTTTTGCCGACACGACTGAGGACCAACAGTCATTGTTTACTACTGAACCCCTGTCGAGAAGCAACTGGGACATCAGGTGGGGGATTCTCTGAGTTGTTGTGCCCTGTCTGTAAGGCTCCAGGGTTTAGGGTTTCGGGTTCCCCCCCCCCCCTTTTTGCATCCCTTTTTGGGGGTTCTAGAGGCTCATAAGAAGCAGCAGTTCCAAAATCCAAGAAGTGCTTCGTCTTAAAATAGGAACCCAAAAGGGACTGCTATCCTAACAGTCCTTAGTAGGGATTACGATAGGGGGTACTATAATCACTGCTAGTATGAGGGGGAACATCCCAATCGGAACACTGAACCTCCCAGGTGAGGCCTGGCAGAAGGCGTACACCACCAGATCGATGGTCGTTATCTTCGGCCCGTGAAAGTAGGGGCCAGCCTTGCCATCTGAGATGTAGGGCTTCAGGTTGTTGGACCCTAGTAAAGCCTAAACCCTAAACCCGAAACCCTAAACCCTCAACCTACACCCGTAAGGTTCTAGGTTTCGGGGAGGGTACTCCATAATCAAGGAAGGAAGGGTCCAAAATTCAACTCCGGATTCCTATCGGAAGTTCAGGAAGGTAGTGCTGAACTAAATCGGAGGCTCCGGTTTCCCAAGCCCTAGACACTAAACCCTAAACTCCCTGCAGCCTCGTCCATGAGGGAAGAGACCGACTTCACCGTAGTGGCCGCCATCTGACGCAACTCCTCAGTTGCCAAAAGCTCCAATATGAGGGTTTCGGGTTTGCAGTTTCGGGCTTGGAGTTCAGGGTTTCGGGCCTAGGAAGATTCCGTGAGCTATCATCGTGCTTCTGGCGCGACTGAGGAAAACACAAAAAATCCTCATTTGCTCAAAGTCCTAAAGCCGGAAAACCTAAAAATCATAGGTCCAAAGCCCTAAAGCCCCTGAAGCCCCCCACCGCCGAAAACAGAGCCCTGAAACGCCCTTAAAGCCCCTTGAAAGCCCTTGAAGCCCTAGAGCCCTAAACCCCAAACCCTGATCCCCAAACCCAAAAGCTTAAACCCGAACCCTAGGCCCTAGAACCCTAAAGCCCCAAACCCTAAACCCTAAACCCTAAGCCCTAAGCCCTAAACCCTAAACCCTAAACCCTAAACCCTAAACCCTAAACCCTAAACCCTGACAAGCCCCCCAAAAACCCAACTCCTCAGCTGCCGCGAGGATTCCTCGGGGGAGTGGCGGCCGGCCCCGTGGCTGTGGGAAGACTTTACCATGGCCTGCGGCTCGCTTTGGGGGTTTAGGGTTTAGGGTTTAGGGTTTAGGGTTGGGGGTTTAGGGTTTAGGGTTTAGGGGGTGTAGGGTGGGTTTAGAGTTCAAGGCTTGCTAGGTCCTGGAGGGCTTTTCTTATGGTTTACGGATTTAGGGCTTCGGGACCGGTGAAACACCCGTGCCTTCCGCGCGATCGGGGTGAAGCACGGGACGATGCAGTCGGGAAGCAGGCCAGACAGGATGTCCTTGGCGTACGTCTTAAAGTTCTCGCTGTGAAGCCAACGGGTTTCGCAGATGCCCGTCCAGTAAAGGCTGTCCTCCAGGGCACCCTAAACCCTAAACCCTAAACCCTAAACGCTAAACTGTCCTCCAGCGTGTGGCGGACCACGTGGGAGAGGGCTCGCTGCTTGTCGCTGAGCCACGCATCCATTCGGTCGCCAGGTGCTTTGGCAGCTTCCAGCTTCTCCTTTGCAGCCCAGCAACCATATTACAATAAGGGCACCCTTTATTTTGGGTTTAGGGTTTAGGGTTTAGGGTTTAGGGTTTAGGGTTTAGGGTTTAGGGTTTAGGGTTTAGGGTTTAGGGTTTAGGGTTTAGGGTTTAGGGTTTAGGGTTTAGGGTTTAGCGTTTAGAAGGGTTAGGGAACCCATAACCCCCACAAAGGGCTAAGGGTATGACTCGGCGACCAAGTCTCAATGATTAGCTGCGAGTCCCCCATGAAGTCTCCGGAAGGAAGCTTCACGAAAGGAAACTTGCCCTTGGCCTTCGTGTTCTGCACGGAGCCCTTGTCCCAGGTGGTGACCACGTTGTAGTCTGCCTTGCTGACCTCCAGATAACTCAGGAGCTTCACGACAAAAGGTGAGAGATCCTTGGTAGCCCAGTAACCATAGTATAATGAGGGCACCTTTTTTGGTTGGTTACTTTATAAGGGAACCCAGAGCAAAAAAAAGGGTAAAGGGTACCACTGGCCTGCCAAGGATCTGCGCTGAAGCACTTCCCCTGCGTCGACGGATGGATCGTGTACACCGTAAGCGTCCCAGGCGCCATGGATGCAAGACAGTGTACCCTGAAACGCGAAATCACTCAACCCCCTAACACCCTCAAACCATCAAGCGCGTTAAACCTTACAACCCTAAAAACCCCAAGGGTTTAGGGTTTAGGGTTTAGGGTTTATGGCTTAGGATGCCGTAAGGGATAACAAAACCTTAACAGCTCCACCCGAGGGGATGCTCAAGGTCCAGCGTGCTGGAGCCAAAGGTGCCGCGGGTAGCGGCGAAAGACGGCTGCTTCTATGCAGGACACAGGAGCTTAGGGATTGGGTTTAGGGTTTAGGGTTTAGGGTTTAGGGTTTCGGGTTTCGGGTTCAGGGTTTCGGGTTTAGGGTTTAGGGTTTGGGGTTTGGGGTTTGGCGCTGAGGTTTCAGGGTCTAGGGATCCGACATGACATCTACGCCTCTGTTAGGATCTAGGGTTTAGGGTTTCGGGGCTTAGGGCTTCAGTGTTAAAATGAAAGCTTCCAAAATAAGACTTTCTGAGGGCTTCTACCGAGGGCAGCTCATGATGTCTACGGTTTCTGCTTCCACGCGAAGGTATGCTTTCCCATGACGCCGCGTTTCTGCAGGAAGCTGCAGCCGAAATCGGGTGGCTTGTCATGGCATCTGCCTTGATCCCGAAAGGACTCCATCCCACCCCATTTTAGGGCTTGTGGCTTGTTAAGGGGATCTTTTGGGTTTAGGGTTTCGGAGTTAGGTTTGGGAGTGTTGGGCTTTGGGGGGGATGGCGGGGGGTGGCGGGCTCAGGGTTTGTTAAGGGGAGCTACAGGAGTTCTCAGGTAGGGAACCTCAAGCAAGGCGTCCAGAAGGAGCATAGATGTGTTTTCGGAGAGAGGGTTTAGGGTTTAGGGTTTAGGGTTTAGGGTTTAGGGTTTAGGGTTTAGGGCGTAGGTGTTTAGGGTTCAAATCTAGGGCTGCCCTTTAGCCGCAACCAAGCCCCTGGCCACATAGGCGTGGACCGGATGCGTCGCAGGCTCTAGCGCCACCTGACCGGGGCCATCCGCAGGGTTTAGGGTTTAGGGTTTAGGGTTTGGGGATTTGGGGTTTGTAGGGTTGAGGGTTTGGGGTTTCAGGGTTGGGGTTTAGGCCCCTTCCCCCCGCTTCTTCTAAAGAGCCTTTTACGTTCAGAAGCCTTGCCGACGAAGAGTCTGTGCTTTTGTTTTTTTGTCTTTTTTTACTTGTTTCAGGGAACCTAGCACTGAAGAAAAGAAATACGGGCCATTGGGGGGGGGAGCTGCTGAAGGTACATTGAAGGCAGAAGACTACCTCTTTCCATCGAGGTCCGTGTCTACACCCACAGTTGCAAGATATGCCAAGCTGCAGCAGTCAGTCGGCGTACCACGAACTCCATTTGTCGGGGGACCTTCCGCGGTTGTTCCAACATCTGCCAGCGCCTTCTATGTACACGCCAATCTGCGTGTGCGTGGCAGGACATGTTGCTGTACAATTACCTGCAGATTGCCATCTCTGCTGCTTTGCAACGAGTGGCAGCAAGACTCCTCTCAGCGGATGAGGAACTTAAAACATATGTCATGTCAACAGAACCTTTCTGTTGCTTAGAAACCCTAAACCCTAAACCCTAAACCCTAAACCCTAATCCCTAATCCCTAACCTAAACCCTACACGCCGGGCCAGTCCACGTGGGGAGCGCCTGGAAAGCACCTTGGCCTCGGCATTCCGAAGACCTCGTAGTCCTCCGCGTAGAGACGCCTGGCCCGGTGGCAAAGCTGCTCATCATACCTTGGAACCAAAGGTATTCAGGGTTTAGGGTTTAGGGTTTAGGGTTGATTATATATAGGGCAGTTTTAACCCTGCTTCCAACTACCCATGAACCTCTAACACCTTAAGGGTAGCACAGTGACCCCACATCATATTTAGGGTAGTTTTGACCCTTCTTCGAACTACCCATGAACCTCTGAGTCCGGGGTGTCTACTTGGTAGCCCAGTGCAAACATGTCATAACAAGGACGCCCTTTTTTAAGTTAACATGATATAAAAAGGACACCGTTTTTTTAAGGTTGGTTAGAACCTTGAACCCAAACAAAGGGAAAAGGGTACCACTGGGCTACAAAGATGCGTAGGATGAGCGTCTGCATCCGTGCGGTGTGTGACAAGCTCGTGGGCGCTGTGGTCGCCGAAACTGAAGTTCATCACCTCTTCGGGGTTTGGTGAAATTTTGGCGAGCGCCCTGAGGAAGCAATCCGAGAGCTCTGCGCGCTTTGCCTTGTCCGGGGAAAGGAAGAATACGTGCTGGTAGTATGGCAGGAACCTCCCTAAGTCACACAAGCGAGCTTGTCGCTGCCAGTGTCTGTCTTCGTGATCTAAGGAGTGGCGCATGCCGACCTCAACTCTGCTCAAGAAGTTGGAGAAACTCGTAGATGTGAAGTTCTCAAATGGCAGTCCAAACAAATTCTCAGTCAGCCAATGGTTTTGCGGATCGCTTGCGCTGAGGATTTTGTCCAAATAAGCAGATCGCAAACGGTCTAAAGGATCCCTTACCACTGCCATCTTTGTCCACGCCGGATCTTGCATGATCCGAAGAGCCTCGGAGGTCGGCAAATGCTTCAGCTGCAGCAAGCCGCCCAAGAGGCCATTGGCATCGGCGAAGTGCGGGTTTGAATCCCAGTCCTGGCTGCAACAAGCTACAGAGAAGGGTTTAGGGTTTAGGGTTTAGGGTTTAGGGTTTAGGGTTTAGGGTTTAGGGTTTAGGGTAACAGAACATGGCACTTCTCACTCTGGAACATGCAGGGCCTGTATCTGGCAATGCTCCGAAGCATTCATGTCGTGGGTATGCGGGGGGCGGGGGGGGGGGGGGCTGATGGCCAACTTACAAACTGCAACAACCATGTTGAACCCTAAACCCTCAACCCTAAACCCTAAACCCAAGAAATTCCCAAGGGCCTGGACTCCGGCCATCCATCGCAAGATCCGCAGCCAGCGAGATGTGCCGGCTTTCGGGATGTGGCAGAACACCAGGCGGTGGCTTGGAATTACCTATACTCCCCTTAAAACCTTAATAAAAATTATATTTTTAATATCCTCTTGGGTTTTATATAAACAAAGATAAACAAAACAATTCCCAAGGGGGATGTAGTTACGATGGGCGACAGCCAGGCATCGCTATGGTTTGCAAACCAGTGGTCGGCGGCCTGCAGTTGCCTAGAACTGGGATACCTCTTCAGGTCAAGCTGGCACGTAGATGAGGCTGCTTGCACTGGTTCAGCCTGGGGTGGAAGGGTCCAGTAGTGGACGCAGGCTCTCCACACGCACCAGACACCGAATGCTGATCCGGCTAGGGTCGCAACTATGCTTGCTGTCTTCATGGCCCGCACGGACACACCTGCTACGATTCCAGCCGAGCCCAGATACGGCAATCTATGGACCCTAGCCACACGGGGTGGAAGGGCGTGAAGGGGGGCGGGGGTGTACAACCATGCATACCTCTACATGCATGGCCGGTAACTAGCAATACGAAAGTTGCAGACACAAGTGTAACTCGCCCTCGCTGTAACCAAGATCCTTGTAAAATAGGGGCGATGCTCCTACTATTGGACAAAACGGTATCTGCCTGATTACTATCTTCCTGGGCTGCTTTGTTGGTCCCTGATGCACCCTAAACCCTAACACCCGAAGACCCTAAGACCCCAAGACCCCAAACCCTAAAACCCGAAAACTCTATGCCCTACACCCTTCCCGGACTATCTTGTTGTTCCTTGGGCCCGGTACCTTCGTCAGTCAAGCTTGCCCCAAACCTGGCCCCTGAACCTAAAAGGGCTTGGGTTTAGGGTTTAGGGCTAGGGTTTAGGGTTCGGGGTTTGGGGTTTAGGGTTTCGGGCTTAGGGTCCGAAACCCGCGAGCCTTCTTCAAAGCGCCGGCGGCTGCCGTCACGACGTGGTCCGGCACCTCAGCTTAGCTGTCTAGGGTTTCGGGTTTAGGGTCTAGGGTTTCGGGTTTAGGGCTTCAGGGTTTCAGAACTTCAGGGTCTAGGGTTTAAAGCCTTGATTAGGAGTGAACCTAGCTACCACTATGACACAAGTAAAAGAAGGTCCAGCCCTAAGCCCAAAACCCTGACCCTGAACTCTAGTAAATCCTCTTCCCCACTGCTCCCACCTCAGCACCAGTAGTCGCATTGGCTCGTCCAGCGGGGTGCAGGTTGAAATCAATGGCTTTCAGGGTTTTGGGTCTAGGGTTCAGAGTGTAGGGTTCAGAGGGTTTCACTTTGGCTTAAGGTTTAGGACTTAGGTCCCTAAACCCTAGAAACCCTAAACCCTAAACCCTAAAGCCTAGAAACCCGAAACCCTGAACCCTAAGCACAGCAAGCTTGAGACATCCTAAATTCTGAGATCCCCCACACTCTAAGCCTGAAAGCCCTACACCTTTTGGAGGGAGATTCGAGAAATGCCCCTGTATACATAGTACGATAGATTGTCGTGTGTATAAATGTATATATACACAGACTATTATTGCTTCATTTCTTTTCATTAACATTTCAAAAGGTGGAAGGAGACTCGGGACATGCCCGCTACATAAAAAACAAGATATTGTGGTAAATATGTATACACCATTTATTGGCTTATTTCTCATGAGTCCCCTACTACCCCCCCTCTACACTACCCCCAGGTGTGCCCCATAATCAAGGCTCTTCTTTAGGGGAAATTATGCTTTTTGCGGAGAGAACCTATAGTAGGGGCCCTTGTTATACAACCCTTATATACACTATATACAATTTTGGCCCATACTTCGGATCCAAAAAAAACAAGAGTAAAGGACCAAAATAAGGGCCCATGGTTCCAAGCTTAGATATAGAGGGGGGTAGTAGGGAAGCCCATGATTCTATGTGTACGAAAAGTTCAAGTCTGCTAAAATTTCAGACCCAAAAGCTGAGGCAGTAGCGATCCCCGGCACCGTTTTTCGTACCAGGGCCTGTGGAAAACAGGTCCGCAAACTGCAGGGCTTTTGGGGGGCTGTGGGCTTTCTACACCCTATAAACCCTAAACCCTAAGCTGCAGGGTTCAGGGCCAAGGGAGGGGTTGGGGGCTTCAGGATTTTCGGGTTTTAGGTTTGGGGTTTAAGGATTAGGGGCGAAGGAGGATCCCCATCTAGAGTTCAGATGTTGAGGGCCGATAGGGTTTCGATGGGTTTACGGCTTTGTTGTTGAAAGGGTGTGTATCAGGCACCCTCACCCTGAAAAAGGGCGTCCGAGACAGGGTGTTGAATACCAGGTTTATACTGCTAATGTACATATGTATGTACACATGTATATAAACAGATACACATACACATGCACATACACGTGTACATGTGTATGTGTTTCTATGTGTATGTATGCGTATGTACGTGCATGTATGTATGTATGCATGCATGTATACTGATGCATGTATAGGTAGACTTTACGGGCGTGCACGACTGACAGGGACCATGCGGTGTGACTCGTACGGCTTCTACGGCTCCTAGAGTTGTTAGGGCTTGTAGGGATTGTAAGGTTGGTGATGAATTGCAAGCTTACTAGGATTAGAGAACTTATGGGGGTCATAGGGTTCAGTGTTTATGCGGCTTGCGGATTAGGGTTTAGGGCATAGTATGAGGCAACCGTGTTAGGACCCTGTATATCGGATATACTGTGTCCCTTATAGAACAACTTAGAGGGATAATCCCTAGTCAAGGGTTACTGGAGTCTCTGAGACAACCCTACACCCCCAAACACCCCTAAGCACTTCTTCGAGAACACACAAGCCTACATTACAGATTATTATTGTAAAGCGAGGGAATGATGGAATTAGGGACCCTAAAGCATCCTATACAGGCCATTTTTCGGGGACATAAGGTACGTCCTCATTCCCTACTAAGAACCAGTAGGTCTTAAGAGGCGGGGTTCTACTTCAGGATGACTTGAAGGGGCTTGTACGTGCAGATATAAAAGGGGTTCGAAGCACCCCCTAAACCCTAAACCCTAAACCCTCGAATAAGTACCCTTGACCCTAAACCCTCGAATAAGTACCCTTGACCCTCCAAGTAGGGGATAAGGACAGCCAGCCGGATGACTTGCTGCAAGGTGCAGGGGTTCAGGGTTTAGGGTTTATGGGAGCGGCAAACAGATGACGCCGAGCCCGCGGTTAGGCGCACGTCCCATCGCCGATGCTGGTGGGCATTACAGCACCAATAAAGCCACCCGGGCATATACGGGCCCGGTCAGGCTTTTTGAATGCCTGGCTGAGGCGAATCATCCACTCGCTCGAAGTTTCAGCAAAGCGACTGTCAAAACGGTGCAAAGGTTCCAACATTCCGTAGTATGTCAAAGGTGGCGTCCAAGGCGTAGACAAAGCCACTTGACAGCAGCATGGACGGTTTGGGGGGATGAGGGGTTCCGAGTTTAGGGCTTCGGGTTTAGGGTTTAGGGTGAGGGTTGAGACTATGAGGTTTAAAACTTCGGGAAGAGGGCTTATGGCTTCAGACCTTTCAGGAACGGCCTCACACTGTCGTGGATCCCCGATGCCCCTACGTTCCACCTAAGCCCCCACCCTAAACCCTGAACACTCGCTAAGGATTTAGGGTTTAGGGTCTTCTGTCCTCAGCCGAATCACCCATCAACTCTCCTTCCGACCAAAACCCTAAATCCGGCGTATTCCTTAGTACAAGACTTACGGTTTAGGAACCCAAATAGTCAAGAGCCCCCGTTTGATCACGGAAAACCACATCCACTAGACCTCTAAACCACGTTACTAAGTAAGAGGACCCCATTCAGGGTCTTTCTGGGGCACTTACAACTCTACGGTACCTGCTTGCAAAAAGTCCAAGTAAACCCTGCACTGACACCCCAACCCTAAACCCTAAACCCTAAACCCGAAACCCTAAACCCTTAACCCCAAAAAAGAGAGGCCTGATATTTCTCCTTGTTCCCCCCATTTGCTATTTCGTCGATCAGCCGTTGGGAGGTGAGGACCTCAGTGCCCCCGCCCTTACAAGGGGCGTAGGGATTAGGGTTTAGGGTTTAGGGTTTAGGGTTTGGGGTCTAGGGTCTAGGGCTTTTTGGTGCAAGGGTTTGGTTGGGTGTAGGGCCCTGAATAACCCTCAAACCCCGCGAAGCCCCTTAGAGGCGCGGGAGTTCCGCGTAATCGAGCCCCCCCCCCCCCCCCCCCAATGGTATCCCCCCCCCAATGGTTCCCCCCCCATGGTATCCCCCCCAAACCCTGCCTGTTAACCTAAAAACACCGGGACCACGGCAACGGGGACAGAACACCACGGACCACAGCAATGGGGACAGAGAAACCTCAGCCTAAACCCCAAACCCTGAACCCTATAAGCCCTAAAACCTAAACCCACCAATGAACGACAGGAGGGAGAAGGGTAAACCGAAACCTTAGCCGCTTTAACCAACCCTGAACCGTAAACCCAGCACGAACCACAGGGGGGAGAGGGGAAACCGTAAACCTACCATTACCCCCCACCTTGAACCCTACAAACTCTAAACCCACAGTGAACCAATGGACCAGAGTGAAAATCCTGAACTCTACAGCCTAACCCTAAACCCCTAAACCCTAAACCCGTGAACCACAGACCGTGAACCACATGGGGCGGGGAAACCCAAAACCCACCATGAACCACAAGGGGGGGGTGGGGGGCGGGGATACCATGGGGGGGGGGGGGGGGGGGGGGGGGGGGAGATAAACCAAACCCTCAACCCTCCAGAACCCTGATAGCATCCTTTGTTGAGGCCGTGGCTGGAGATTTGAGCAGTTTAGGGATTCAGGGCTTCCTGGGTTCGATCGGGTGTTCAGGAATATCAGGCTTGGGGCTTTAGGGTTTTGCAGGGTGTAGGGTGGGGGGTGGGGTGTGGGGGATGGGGTGGGGGGTTTTGGGGGTGGGGGGTGGGGGGTGGGGTGGGGGGGGGGGGGAATTACGCGCGGAACACGGGCGTCCTACCCAAGCAACTTTTAGTTTTGCACATGCCGCACTGCACGAACACGTTCAAGACGCAGAATACTGAACACCCGCCGTTTTGGAAATGCTAGTTTTTCATATGCGCGTTATCTGCTCCGGCATGTTTTGCCCGGAAAGCGGAATATGCACGCCTGCCACGTGTTTCGACCAATGTCCCATGTGACATTCCGCGCCTGCCCAATTTTGTGTCGGTTTTCACATGTTTTCAATACTTCTGCCTTCATCTTCTCTCGAAGTCCTACAAACACAACCGACAGACCTTCCACCCCGGCGAAAGACGCCGTTCCCCAGCTCGGGTATAGGGTCGGTTTTTCGCAAGCCGGCAGCTACCCGCACCAAGTCAAATGCCTTGTCGCAACCAACGTCTCAATGTTGGAGGGTCTTGGACGCTCTGTTGTGGGATGGTGACGCACTTTTTGGGGGATCTTGGAGGCTCTGTTGGCTGGCTCCACCCTTGTTGACGTTGATTTCGGCGCAGAACGGAATGCGGCAGCGCAAAGGCTGCTTCTTGCTGT